TTTTTTTTTTTATTTATAAAGGCTGTGTTCCTAATAAAATGATGGTTTTGTGCCTATCCCGCCTTGGATTCTAAGACTTGGCCTTTCATGTTTGGAAAGTCAACTTCCAATCAAATCGCTGGGATGCAGAGGAGACATTCGGCTTTGGATAATAGTTTTCCAGTCATTTGGCTTCCGGTATTTGACTTTGATTACCCATCATTGGATGCTCATTTTCCACTAATGTGGTTCCAAATGCTTTGCTTTGATCACTCGGCTTTGGGCACTTGGTCTTCGTTTGCTTCCTTCTTTGAGGTGGTTTCTGACGAGTGGTGAGCTCTGGACCTTTGGATTCGCAATAACATGGACTGCCCAATCATTGATGACCGGGATAGTCACTTTATGACTATACCTATGCATATACTCACATATTATCAGTATTTATATATGTATGCCTTTTGATTTGATCTCCAACTAGCTCAATTTGTTCCAGGCTTAACTCAAAGCAAGTTTATCTGAGCCGGGCTTGGCTTGCTCTTGCCTTCATTTGTGTTTTATCCAAGCCATAGTCCAAGCAGATTTTTTGAGCAATCTTCGATCTCCAAGTCTAATTTATAGCCTCTCATCCTCATCCAATAGAATGGATGGTTTCAATCGATGAAACAAAATTTAAGCCTTTTTGCTTGAGATCCCATGTAATTTGCATTTCCATTGAATAATAAGGCATTGTGAGCCCACATCTAAGAAATAGTGAGTGTCTTCTTAAGCTACCAATGTCTTTGCTTTTCTTGCTGCTTTTTCTTAATTTGACCTTCCTTTTAAAATAATTTCTAATGTTGAACCTTTAAATTTCCTTTGTTGAGATGATGCTTCCAACAAGACATAATATTCGTTTCTTTTCCCGATAGACTGTACGCAGGGGTACAAACGGCGGGGTTACCCTAGATGGACTTCTAGCTGCTACAGCTGCGGGCATCGCCATTGGTATTCCTTTTACTCTTGCTGGAATGATCACGGCTGAATGTTCTGCAGATGCAGCTTGGAGGCAGCTGCTAGCAGTACCAGTTGCTGCATTAGCCGGGCTTTTTGGAAGCCTGATAGATTCATTTATAGGCGCAACACTACAGTTTAGTGGATATTGTAGCGTGCGGAAGAGGGTAAAACTTCCATTTTTTTTTAAGCTCTCAATCTGTTTTCATTTCTGAATTGAAATATTTGCTTTAAATTGTTTAAGGTGGTCGCCAAACCTGGTGCGACTGTGTTGAAGATCTCAGGAATGAACATCCTGGACAACAATTCGGTGAATATAGTCTCTGTGTTTTTGACAACGCTGCTTACTTCCATCGCCTGCATTTACATCTTCTAGGTGCTCAGGCTGGTAATTATTATATGCTAATTAGTTACTTCGATTCATGGGCAATTCTATATCATCTACACTAAATAATAATGGCTGAAATAGAAAATCTATATCATTTGCTTATTATTTACTTGTTATAATATGGTTGAGATAACGTATCCTTTAGGTTCAGCCCAAGTTATGTTTTGATATGAAATGTTTTTTATTGATTTTTGCTGTTACGACAAAGAAAGAAATATAGAATATGAAAAGATTATGATGATATTATCAGAGATGATGATTATTGGCTTTGGGAAATGGACAAAGAACTGGATGTCTGTGAGTTTATTTTTTGTTATTTATTTATTTATTTTTGGATGAATGGTCAATTTGTTGCACGCTTCACGATCTGCAGTAGAGTAAACAATTCAAGACAATATGATTTAGAAGTTGTTCAATGATAGATCCACAAAATCAGGAAGTAAAAATGTGTTCACATGGTTCTTCTTTAAGTAGTTGGGGTGTCAGCTTATGAAATTTTATATCATACATTTGTACTAAATGAAAAAAAAAATCATTTAAGTTTTAGAAAAAGATTGAAGAAATATGGATTTTAGACATAACATTTTGATGATTAATTTATTTTCTATTATTACGTTTATGGAAAGTACTCCATTCACCTTAAAATGATTAATGTGGACAGTGGGTCTTAAGGTGAGTTTGGGGCCGTAGTTTTTTATGTTTGGCAA